GTGCGGTACAGGATCAGTTGCGAGATGTGCAACAGATCCAAGCTTCTGGTGCTGCATTTGCTGCAATCCTGGGTGACGGATCTGTGGTCACCTGGGGTGATGCCGACGGTGGTGGCGACAGCAGTTCGGTACAGGATCGGCTGCGAGATGTGCAGCAGATCCAAGCTTCTGAACATGCGTTTGCTGCAATCCTGGGCGATGGATCTGTGGTCACCTGGGGCAATGCCCGCTGGAGTGGTGACTGCAGTGCGGTACAGGATCAGTTGCGAGATGTTCAGCAGATCCAAGCTTCCGATGGTGCGTTTGCTGCTATCCTTGGTGATGGATCTGTCGTCACCTGGGGGAAAGCCGATTTCGGTGGCGACAGCAGTGCTGTTCAGGATCAGCTGCGTGATGTGTAGCAGACGTTCCCGACGAGAAGTGAGAAGCAGCTCGTGATCTGATGGCTTTCATGGGTTGTTGTAGGCTCCGGTTCCAGTAAAACATTAACGTTTGTGTTCGCATGGGCTGTACGGTGTTTGCCTCTCGGTAATGCCACACATTTTCAAAATTATGTGGCCATGCAACCTTAATCCCAAAACCCTTACCCCTAAAATCCCAAGCTCCACCAGCCTAGCTTTAGGCTCTAAGAGCTTAAGGTGCCCACCGAAAATCCGGAACTTGGCCGGAGGAATTAGTAAGACTATAGCCCTCACGCATTATAGTATAATGCGTACAATCTACCCCCAAAGTCTTGTTCCAATAACTGAGGCCCTTTAGTGCCACTCTCCGCCACACACCACCGCCCTCGACAGGAAGTATGCCGCCGAGCCGGACTTTCTGTGCTTCCTGCCCCTTGCACGGTTTCATATGGTGAGCAGAGCGGACAGGACTTGCCGGAACTCTAGACGGATGATGAAAGGGCGACGGGGTCGGAGAAGGTGATATTTATGAACTTATGAGGTCTTGTTCGGCGGGCTTTCGTGGAGAATCCAACACACCAGCTAAGATCCAGTCGCGATGCCACGACACACAAACCGAAGCTTAAATCCATTGCCCCCAAAGTTCCGCATCTCCATGGCCAAAGCCTCAGTTCAAAGCCCAGGCTCCTGATCACCGGGCAGGTCGCAGATGTTGTCGTGTCTTGGTCGCAACAGCGAGCCCGCCAGACAAAGCATCGCAGGGAAGAGCATCCTTGGACTAAACTTTGTTCCAAGAGTTCTTTGATTTGGCACGCAGCATGTGGGCTCTCCCTGCATTACAGGTCTCCGGCATTTAGCAGCCTCCGCAATGAAACCTCGGACCTCGGTATATGAGGTGTCGAGGAGCTGGAAGCATTGCAACGAAGGCATTGAGAGTGGCAGAAAGCACGCTCCAGTGCCATGAGGTTCGAGACAACCGCTCGCTCTGTGCGGAGCTGTTGAGGCCTGGCGTAGTAGGGCGATGTGGCTGGATCCGTCCTGCAAGCCGCCACCGGACCTTGCCACAGGATTTTCCGGATTTATTTCGAGGTGGCAGACGGGCCCGGCGCCTAGGTTCGGCTAATGACCCGAGCAACCGATGGTTTACTTGGCTGAGAGTGCACAAGCTGCGATGTACCGAGATGCAGCACCCGGTGTTTCGCGGAATCGCAGGAGCTTTTTGCATTCGGATCCCGTGCAGCGAAGGTCGACCCGCGTGACACGGCAGAAGTTCTTCAGCGCCCTGCGGGATGTGCAGAGCCCAGTGCGGGTTGGGACTGTCGTGCTGTAGGACTTGCCACCGTGTGCGATAGCGTTCAAATTAATGACGAGACCTGACAGTCGCCCCTCTTGCAGTTTTCGATTTTAAGAAGTTTCAAGCCTTTGTTTTGCTCGATTCGGCGTGGTGCTCCCAGAGTCGGGGTGCAAGATGGTGGGCCGAGAGCTTTAAAAGGGGCCCTCTTCCACCAGAGCCTCGAGTCGAGCCCTGGGATTGTTGCCGAGGCCTTGCCTCAAAAGGAGAAGGACCAGTGCCAGGACAGAGCATGCAGGTGATTCCCCGGAAGCCCAGACTTCAAGGGATGGAGAAAGGGAGGGGGCGAAGATCCGCGAAAGTGAGGAGCTGGCGGCTTACTTCCCTGCGAGCGGTCCGGCCTCCCAGATCGGCCGACGAAAGCCCAGGAAGGTTTTCTTGCATTCCACGGCCCGACTGAGCCAAGGCCCGATGACGCCCGTGAACTACGAGTGGCCGGGTGCTTTACAGACGGCATCCCTTGGTGCCTCGATCAGAGACTTGCAGCAACGGCGCGCAGCCGCAGTGCCAAGGCTTCTCGTCGACGACCCGCACGTCCGGCCCTGAATAGAACAGTCTCTGCTTTCCTCATCCTTCCTTTATTATAAGAGCCCTAAACACCCCTAGAGAGAGAGACATGGAAACCTTCTGGTGGAATCCGGGTTGCGAGAGCGTAAAGCCCAAGCAGAGCCAATCCTGGGACTTGCGGAGGTTCTGTCTCCAGTCGTGTATGCTCTGCGACTGCAGCACTTGGAGGATGACCGGAGCGGTAAGCTGTGGCCATGGTTTCGGGCTTGGCTTCTTGTTAAAAGCTTCAGGCTGCTTCCGGAATTTGTGGGCATGCCAGTTTTCGTGCGCCTCTGCCAGTTGGGTCACCATGACTCGAGCCTGGTCCGAAACGCTACAAGTGCCACCCAGTGCCCAAACCCCCCCCCCCCCCAAAAAAACTTTCGGCCCTCGCCGGAAAGGAGGGCCTAGGGCTCAGCGACCGCATGGAGCGGCAGTGCCGATCCCAGCAACATGCTTCAGGGCGAGCGAAGCGCCACGCAGAGAACTAGTGAGACGAAGAAAAGAGCCGAGAGAGAGAGGAGTGAACTAACTACTCCGTGCACTTTCGTCGTTTGTTTGTACTAACGAAGGTGCGGAGGAAGGCAAGGCTTGGATCTTTCGGAAGGAAAGACTAGGGCACCAGCAGTGAGCAGTGACAGTGTGTGTGTGTGTGTGTAAAAGCACGAGACCATGGCTTGGATCGGTGCGGGTGCCTGTGACAAGCCAGGTGGAGAGAATGAGGTGCCCATTAGGTGCCAATTATGTCATTATGGTGAGTTCTGTCGGAAAGCATATGCCACTCCAAGCTTTGCTTTGCTCCCGGTCCCTTGCTACATACATACACACGCACACACATGCATCGATAAAACAGTTTATTGGCTGTCATACATATACCTATACACAGAGACACGTAACATGGGGGATGGCACCCAGAGAAGCAGGAAAAACACCGTGGCCACTTCAGGGTCAAGTCCTGTGCGAGAGATGGGCCTGCGCGCGGCCCAGAGCTGGGCGGGTTGCGAAGCTTCGCAAACGCAAAGTCCGAGCCGAGCGTTCGGACGCTTGCGGAGCGCAGAACAGCTTGCACAGGTAAGTATCACTTCATCTTCCGGGCAAGTGTAGTTTCAGATTTGGCTTTGGGCATCGAGTCGTTGAGTTGCAGCTGCTGGTCCAACAGTCTGCGGGACAGCGGTGAGCAGCTTCAAAGTCCTGAGATTGGGAGCCTCGCTGATCCAGGTCACGTACGAAAAGATCGAGGCAGCGCCTGCGATAGATGCTTATTCCATGCCACTGTTGGGAGCAGTAGAGGAAGGCAGTTAGCATCGCAACACTCGGGATACCGCAGACAAAAGCTCCCGGAATGTGTCAGGCAGTCTGCAAAGACGATCCCCAGCTGTCGATTCTACAGCCAGAGGAGACGGTCTACCCATTTAGACACGGCACCGAAGATTTCGAGTGTTGGAGCTCCTTGGTCGTCGCCGGATCTCCTGCCCAGGGCTTTTCCAGGGTTGTGGCCCAGTCGAAACCGGACCGTGTGATGATGCCGCCGTTTCAGCAAAGGCATGAAGCCCCGGAACCCAAGAGGCCGCACTAAGCCCCTAACGCCAGTAAAAGCCCTGGCTGCCAGCAGCATGCACAGCTCTGACCATGGGAGAGAGTTCTCGGAGCGCGCCGGCTCCGGCCCGTTCCAACTGGCGGAGGGCCTTGGCGAACTTGGTGGCGGCCGAGGCGGCGGTGCTGCACCTGGACCTTTCGACGTGGAATTCGGCGCTCGGATGATTCATTAAGGTTTAAGGGTTGAGGGTTTGGTTCCTGAGCCGTTTCGGCGTGTCTGCTTCCTTGTGAGATGGGTGCCCTGGTTTGCTGCGCCTCGTGCTTCCTACGATGAGCGCAGATTTCGGGACCGCAGTCTCGATTCGAGCTCCTTTGTCGAAAGCTACCGCCATCTTTTTCTGAACTCGAAATCTCCCAAACCGGGCACCCTAGACTTCAAACCTAGACTTCAAACTCTTACCCTAAAGCCTCGACCTCAAACCCCAAAACCAAAACTCACAATCTTACACCGTCAGCCGTTGAGTGCTAGTTTGCTTGAGTTGCCCCGAAATCGTCAGAGGGAGTCACCAGCCAAACAAGCCTTAACCCCCGAAACCCCCGAAACTCTTGAAACTCTTGCCTGGCTGTTGCGGGTTTCGATCATGGAGGGCCTTCGCACCGGAACAGGCCTCGCCTGCGTTCTTCGAGTCGCAGAACCCCCAAGCTTCGGACATTTTCGGGTCCCAGGTGCTAGTCGCCTGTGCCAGGGAGGGCCAATGGCAGGCGGCACTGGCGCTGCTCCAAAGACTCCGAGCAGAAACTGGAGGAACCTCTGGGTTTTGGGGGTTTAAGTCTTCAAGATTTGGAGTTTTGGGGTGCTCTTCTACCATCTATCGTCTCCTGTGCTGAAGCGCTGGGTGTTCTATGCCTTGGTTAACATGCTGTCACGACAAAACTATCACTGGTTGTGTTTTCGGAGGTACCGCGCCAAGTATTTCGTGTTCGGTGTATCAGTCAGAAAGGTGACTGTTCGTACATTGTTTCCCATATTATGGGTTGTGCACTTGCATCGTGCAGGAGGCACAGGCTTCCACAAGTAGGGCCCCAGTTTTTGACTGCCCCAGCCCAATTCCGAGAAGGATGCAATGGCCACTCGCAGAGTGCCGTGCTCAGTGCATGCGACAGGGGTGGCCGCTGGGAGGCGGGGAGTGCTCCGAAGCTGTCAGAAAGCGAGAAACAAACCCCTGGTTCAAACTCCCCACAGACGAACCCCCCCCCAAAAAAAATGGCCAGGATCCATTTTCAAAATCCCAAGAGGAAACAGGAGCTTCATAAGAATCAGGTTCCTCTTTCATGACTGTTGAGAGAACTTCTTGTGCAGGTGGCCCTTGATCTACTTTCGCAGTTCCAGGCCGAGCGCCTGGAGGCCGGTCCAAGCACCAAGCCGCCAAGATCTCTTCAGTAGAAAAAGGCACCAAAACACCAATAAAACACGTAGAGCTCGGAGCCCTGACATCTCTATAGACTCTATATCTAACCCCACGCCTTACTTGCATAAAGGGAGCATCTTGCGCTAGGTCGGCCTGGTCGTCTACAACGCGGCCATCGCCGGCTGCAAGCGCGCCGGGCAGTGGCAGCTGGCCCTCTCGGCTCCCGGGGCCTTTAGCTCTGGGAGCCTTCCAGGGGGTTTTTGCTCTTTGAAACCTTGCATGGTCATCATAAGGTTTAGTGAGGGAGTTTCGGGCTTAGGGTTAGGGGTCGCTGAGGGTGTTTGGACACTCAGAGCCCAGCAGAGTGGAGCTACAGCGATTCTTTCGAGGCTTTGCGGGCGATGCAATCTTTCAGCTTGATCCCGGACGTCGTCTCTCGGATATTTTTTGGCCGCACCTGTGATCCCCTGCAGATCAAGTTAGTTATAATTGGGCCAGCCAATCGGCGAATAATTTTCGAGACTATGTTCCAACTTGCCCTCGTCAACTTGTAGACTATAGCATATTAGTACTGTGGCGGAAGCACCATTGGCTCTCTTCCTGCACATGCGGCACTGTGGCTGTTGCGCAAGCTTAAACATGAGTTGCAGTCAAACCATGCAAGGTGCTGTAGCGACCACGATTTCGGAAGGCGGACAGGTCATCCGAGCCCCGGAATGTGGAGGGAGCACCATGCCAGTACCATTTTTGGCCAAAGTCAGCCCATGGACCCATGCAGCGGACCCGACCAGCACCGGGCTGCCGCAGTTTCAGTCGAAGCAACCACCCCACTGCTCGGGGAATGTCGTCGATAATCTGAGGTCACGTGGTCTTCTATTATCGGCGCCTGTGAGAAAGGTGGACATTGGGGCTGGTCCCTCTTTCTCTTCGATGCGATGATGCACCAGGAGTTGCGGGAGAGGGCTCTGAGCGTGTTTCGGCACAATGAAGAGAACTTCCTCAATCCTCGTCTCAGCATGGGTTCAATGAAAAAGCGCCCAGCAAGGTGACCCTGCCTGTGCTTGAGCAACGTTGGAGGAGCTGGAACCCAACACCATCACCAAAACCTCCACCATCAGCGCCTGTGCCCTGGGAATTCAGTGGGCCAGGGCACTGGAGCTCATCGCCACTTGGATTCAGCTGGGTGCCACCCGAAAGCTCCCGAATCCTTCAGTCGCAGAACCGTCTCACAGCAAACTCAGTAAACCTAAAACGTCTCCTCCCGCGAAGTGTTTCGAAAAGTCGCAGCGCGAAACCGAGGAGAGCAATCTCATCTCCTGCAATGCCGCAGCTGGGGCATGCGGCAAGGCCTCCCAGTGGCGAGGTGCCCTTGGTGTATTTCGCTGCCAGGAGCTCCCTCACAAGGAAGACATAAACCTTGTCTATGCCATTTAGAGTCAGATCTCACTATCTCACTCTGATATACTTTTTTCTCGTCTTCAGGAGCGCAGCTTTGAGCGTGATGCGGCCAGCTACAGCATTGCCTGCGGTGCTTTGGGCGAGGCCTCGCAGTGGCCCCAGGCTCCGCAGTGAAGTGACAGCGGGTGGAGCGATGCAACATACCTCTATCACTGCTGGGCGGGAGGGAAAAACAGCAGTGCCACGACGACGGCGACGACTACTGCTACTGCTCCTGCTACTGCTTCCACCCGGCAGGTTTTGAAACTTCCGCAAAGTGTTGATTCGGGTGCTGTGCGGTTTTGGCACAGCCCTTCAACAGCCAAAAATGCTCTTCCAAACACCGGGGCTGCGAGGTTCGAGTGTTTCGGAATGCTTAGGTCAGATTCCCTCGGCTTCACACTGACTTGTCCGAGTTCGGGAGCGAAGCGGATACAACTCCACGCTTCTTGGGGATCTTGTGTGTTGTCCTCGCCCCCTCCGAAAAGTTGTGCGAGTCTAAAGCCTAATTGCGGCTCAAGCATGTCATCACGCAAGCCCTCGTGCTTTCACAGGACCTGGACTCTTCGGGGTATTGTTTAGGCAAGTTTAGTCTTCATGTCAGCCGCTCTGCAAGCACTGGGGTATCTCACGTTCACGCAGCACTCAGATGTTGCTCTAGCGCCATGAGACTGAACGCTCTTCTGGGCCTCGGGGGCCTCGCGGGGCGGAAGAGCGAGAAGCCGCCGGAAGCAAAGCGTCACAAGCGCCTTGACGTGCTGGAATCTCTGGGCATCGATCAGAATGCACGTGGGCACCCAGCAACCTCGAGTTCATCCTCAAAGAAGGCTGTCCAGTCTTTGAGCGGTTCAAGCTCCGACAAGGAAGAGCTGAGGAAATGGCTGGCTGGTGGGGATGTTGGTTCCAGTGCAGAACGCGATGCAGCTGCACCTTTGCCAGCAGCAGCAGAGAATGCGGCAGATGAAGCTGAAGCAGATGCCGGAGTCGATTCAGCAACTCCATCTGCGGGGGCCGAGCCCGTGAACTCACCAAGACCGGTCATCAACTGGAGGGATGCCTTTTCTAAGGCACAAGATCGGTGGGACGTGGTGGAGGGCGGGGCGCGCTGTTACTACCACCACTCGGACAAGGGCCTCTTCTTCGAGTGGGACCAGCAGACAGGAGTCTTGTTCCAGTATTTCTTCGGCACTGACGAGGCTAGAAGTGTACCTGTCGGTGACGACGATCTGCCGGAGCGCGGTGCGATCTGGTCCAGCGAGTGTCCAGACACGCATGCGGAGGTCTGGGAGGTCTTACCCCTGCCACCTACAGACCCACGCGCCAAGGCGGATCTGGACATGCCTTCGACGGCTTCCGCTAGCGAGATGCCGCCGCCGCACACGAAGAAGCGAAAGAAGACTTTGCCCCCGGTTCCTGTGATGTCTGCAGTTTCGGGCGGCCCGGCTGTGCCGGCGGACGACGACGACGACGACGATCTCCGATTGCCAGAGGAAGCGGAGCACACCGGGCCTGTTCTGGGCTGCGAGGGGCCTCCGGCTCCGGCTCCAACGGCCTCTTCGATCCGCGCGGAGGAGGAGGTCGACGAAGAGGAGGAGGAGGCTCCGGTCGGCTCCTTCGTGCTCGATGAGGATGAGGAGGCTGCAGACCTGGCTTCGGAAGATTGCGCCTTGCCCGCCGCGCCGGTGGACAAAGCAGAACCGTCAGCAGCGGATCTGGACCTCGACATGTTCGCCGGCATGTGAGGTATGCAAGTGGTTCACAGCCATACCCGTAGCCAACAGCAGGGGGTGCCAGTCTCGCTTTTGTTCTCGTGCCTGACCTGTACAGAAGCCGTGCAGCTAGGCTGAAAGATATTGTTAGCAGTGGAAGTCCACGGTCTTCGACTAAATCCCATGTCGCGAAGCGGGGGATCGTGCCATCTTAGTCTCAGTTAGCTTCTGGGATGGAGTTTGTTGAGCTGTGTGTTTTGGACGTCTATGTGGGCATGTTGTGACAGCCAACCTTTGCCTGCATTGTCTGAGTTGCGAGAGTCCAAATCTCCCCAAGGTCAAACCCCAAACCCGACTCACCGGAGTAGCGGAAGCCTTTCAGCTTTCATGCTGCTTTCTACTGGTTCTCATCCTGTTTGTTGGTTGGATCGTAGGTGGTTGCGGAGTGGTGTCTACTTACCGTGGAGCGAGTGCAAGCAGTGCAACCTGACCTAGTGTACAGATCCGGGTACATCTGGTTATGCGGGCCTGGCTGTTCGGGCTATGTAATAGTTGTGTAATTGTGTACCGCAACTGCAGGGTCTTCTCTATAGATCAAAGCGCACTTTGCTCCTCCTTCTCTTTGCTGGTTGACACCTGTCGCTTTGCTTGGATGTCTTTTCAGTTTGAAGTGCTGTTCTCTGCACTGCAATCGCCGGTGTATTGAGAGGCCGCGGAGGCATTTCGGGAGCTGGGGGTCATGCGCATCCCCTGTGACGCCGTCGCCGCGACGGCAGCCCTGGGTTCTTTGGTGCCACTTGGACTGCAGAACAGACCTGGCTCTTCCGAAGGAGCGGAGAGGCGGAAGGCCCCCAGTGACTTCCGTTTCTTGTCCTATTCTCCTTTTCTCTCGTCTATGGAATACTAGGCATCGCCAGGGGCCTGCCAAAAGCCGCATAAACATAAGGCCTCATGTTTGGGACAGAAGGGCCAGGGGAGATCATCATGTCGAAATATCATCCTCATAAAAGCGTCCCTAGCCTAAAGGACGTGCCCCGTACAAAGGAAGTCGTGGCTCTGGAGACGCAGCCTTTGCCTACTTTGCGAGCTTCTGCGGACTGGTGTGCAGCGGAACACGAGCCTCACTGCACAGAGGAGGTTTCTCAAAGCTAGCAGGGTGCAGTAGCTTGGTAGTTAGGGGTGCTCATCATTAATTATGGAAAGAGTGCGACAATTTAGGGTATGTGCGTTTAGGGTGCAGCTGTTTCTCGAGCATCCCTGAAAGTCTTGACAGCACCCCAGCACAGTCTACATCACCAGCGAAGGCTGAAGCCGTGATTGTCGCACCTTTGTGTCTCAAGGTCCACCGAAGCTATAAGCAAAACACTCCTGCTGCAAGCTCCTGTTGCGAGGCTTTGGCTTTCAGTCCCAGGGTCCGCTGTCATGTTCGTGGTGTGTGGTGGAGGGTGCCTCCGTGAGAGGAGACTGTGCCTTGCTCCTCTTTTTAGCTGTCTCTCCCTAGACTCTCGTTCTCCAGCAGATGCCCCAGCGCTCCTAAGGATGGCGGTGAATGCCGCCCTCAGCACAGCTGGCAAGGCAGCGAGCTGGCTCACAGCAGTGGGGCTGCACCTCGTCGTGCCGAGTACTTCTTTCCGATTGGTCAGGTTTTCGACAATTCCTGTACAGTACTGCTTCTAGCAAGCCTCAGCCCCCCATAGTATCCCTTCCATAGTATATAATCGTCGCAGTTCTTATGGCGGGTTCGGTTCAGTACTTGCAAGGCAAGGCAGCTACACAGTGTTGCGGTTTGTCTTCTTGACCTGGAAAATGTATAAGGTTATTGGTGGCCTACCTGATAAGTCTACTTCTACCCCGAATATCAGTCACCCACTACAGGTACCTATGTTATTGCCGGGGTGTTTGGCACAGTTATAAGTTAGGCGCGGCAAAAAATACCAGATTCTTGCAAGCAAAGGCTTCTCCAAATGGAATCCGAGCTCCTGCAGAAGTCTTCAATCACGGACGGAGCCGCTGCTCTTCCGCAAGCCTCCCCGAAAAGAGGGATCCAGCGATGAGACTTTAGCGTTTCAGGACTTGGGGAGAGCAGGGTTCGGGGAGGGTGGTGAATAGTGCAGTAACTGTGCTGTGCGGTGTGGGGAGGTCGCAGAAGTGTAGGCAGGGTGATCCGTCCACTTATCAGGCTCTACCTCCCCTAAGCCCTGCTGTCGAAGACCCAAGCGAGCCTCAGGTGTGTTTAGATCTTAGGTGGGTCGTGTGGTCGGGGGCTGACTTGGGGCTTCTCTGCGTGACGTGACTACGAGCAACCTTGCCTGCCTGGTGCGAGAGTGTGAGAGACGAAACCCCAAACCCTTCAAAATTCAGGCATTTGTTAAGGCAGTCTGTTGCCTGCAGCGATTGCTCCGCTCCAACCGACTCCAACCTCACAACTTACCTGGCTTGCTTTAGGGGACTAGTTACTAGTGTTTTTTCATTCTGAGCGGATATCCAAAACGGTTTGGGGTGCGTGTCGAAGGTTTTGTCCGCCTTCGTTTTTGCTCGAAGTTGGCGCCGGGCCTTGTGCCAGATGGAGGCACGCGCCCGTCTTTGGAGTGGTTCTGCGATTCTGGCGAGTCTAGGCTTGGGGACGGTTCAGCCCTCAAGAGGTGATTTCGGCTTCAAGCATTGAAGTTGGGAGGAGGTGTTGCGATGACAGCCTGCGCGAAGTTGAGGCAGAACCAAGCGTGACAGATCCCAAGCCTGAAGACTAACACTTTTTTGGGAGATCCCTGTGTGGCACTTCCCTGTTGCAGGACATAAGGCAGCCCAGTGCTGCCCGGCATGAATTGGATCTGCCTGTCGTAACGACCGCCTGTCTTCGTGGCTCGGGGCAGAGTGACTCCCTCCCACCGCAGGCTCCTTCTATCGACACAGGTTCCTCAGCGATCCCGGAACAGAACCCAAGGATGGCCACGGATCTCTCGTGAACTTCTGTGCCTTAACTCGGCGTTTTTTGTGGCCCAGGGCCCGCTTCAAAGCCTGGGCCTCGCAGCGTTGGCCGCCGCCGGACGCTGGCCGCAGGCGCTGGCGATGCTGGTGGAGGCATCTACGCAGCCAGAGAGCCAAAGACCACTTGATTGAATATGCCTCCTCAGAATCAGGGCTTTGTATAGTAAAAGCAAAATGAACACAATTGGATGTTAAGCCGAATATGCTTCAGGCACAAATCAGGATCAGTCCGGGTATCCGTCGAGGCAGGGGTCTCATCAATCAGAAGCCCTGCACAAGCCTGGAAACCTTGTAGAACCCTCTAAAGCAAGAGGGTTTGTACAGTGTTGGTGTCTTCATTTCGGCCTCCTGAGTTACAAGCTGAGTAAGCTGAGATTTGAACTCCCACACGAAGACGAGATGTGTCCACCCACAAAGGGCCGAGTAAGCTGAGACCTGCTCACCTACAAGCGGAGCAAGCTGAGAGGTTTGTCCGCCAACAACAAACTCAGTTCGCCCACAACAAGCTGAGCATGCTGAGTTTTGTTGACTTACAGCAAGCTGAGTGAGCTGAAATCTGCCCACCAACAGCAAGCTGAGTAAGTTGAGATTTGCCTGCCCACAACAAGCTGAGCACAAGAGGCTGAGTAAGCTGAGATATGTGCACCTACGACAAGCCAAGTAAGCCTGAGTATGCTGAGATTTGTACACCTCACAACAAGTTGAGAAAGCTGAAGTTTGCCCACCCGCAACAAAGTTGAGTAAGCTGAAGTTTGTTCACCCACAAGGGGCTGGGAAAGCTGAGAGCCTTCCCACCCACAACAAGCTGAGTCAGCTGAGATTTCTCCCCCTACCACAAGCCTTGTTGAGCTTTGCCCACCCGCAACAAGCTCGGTAAGTTGAACCTACAGCAAGCTGAGAAATCTGAAGTTGACCCACCTTTCACAAGCTGAGTAAGCTGAGTTTTGTTCACCCACAAGAAGCTGACTGCGCTGAAGTTGGCCAGTTTGCCCACCCCCCAAAACACGTTGAGCAAGCTGAGATTCGTTCACATGCAAGCTGAGCTCTGTTCACCCACAAGCTGAGACGACTTTCCCACCAACAACAAGAAGCTGAGAAATCTCAGGTTCTACAAACCAGTGGGGGCAAAACGGAACGCCCAGCCAGGAAGTTAGAACGAATGTAGGGTTTAGGGTTTCAGTGCTCTCACAGGAGCCCCGCTCAAAAAAGTGCTCTCGCAGGTTCTTGCACTTCGCTTTGATGTGGATGTTCGCGGCTCGGCGAGAGGTCTGAAGATACGACAACGCCGGACCAAGCCTCAAGCCAAGGAGCATCTAGCAGTAGCAGGGAACTAGATTCGGAGGGGTGCGTCAAAGATGGAACCCTCTGTCTTCGAAAGCAGTCTCGACAGTTATCCTTCTAAATTTGGGACGGCTTTCTTGATCAGGTTACTGCATTTAATCAGCTTACGCCAAGATCGGGGCCAGGCCTCTTCAACGAAGTCATTGGCGCCTGCGCCCGCCAGGGCCACTGGGAGGTGCCGTTCCCTTCTGGATGCTCTCACTTCGAATAACAGATTCGCAGCCAAATGCTTCCCCAACGGGGCCTGCGTGGAAGTCGCACAAAACTTAAACTGCTCCACACCTCCGCGCGAATCTCCTGCGCGTAGTGGAATCCACGTATTTGGCGTCAGGTGCCTCGATCGCATCCACCACGTGACACCAAGGTTTGGTCTCATAGGTTTTTCTTGGTGTGTTCAATATAATTATACTGAATCATGCTGATGCTTAGATGTGATTGCATTTCGTTGCCCGTTGGCTTGCTGGCCTGTCTCTAACTCGGGGTCTGCTTGAGGCAAGCAGATTCTTTCGTTTATGTTAGAAACATTTCAGTCAGGAGCTGTGTGGCTCATGCGTTGTACTAAACCACGGGTCGTGCTATGCTGCCCATGTGTTGTTGTACAGTGTTTGTTTTGAGGTCGTCATCGCCGCTTCTGCGTGCATGCACATGTTTATGTTCGCCTTAGCTTGGTGGCGCATTGGCGCAGCGGTGAAGGCTTCTGCCAGCTG